GTCTTTTCCAACCTAAACGATTCTATGATTCTATAATAACTCCCTGGTTGTGCCATATGCAGTCCTCTCTAAGTCTCTCTTTCTCTCCTGGAGGAGTAACAGGTACCCTTTGCACCTGGTAATTTGTAACCCATGGTAAGTGAAGTTCTGGGAAACTTGGGATGGAAGCAGCAGTGAAAATTGAAGTACCAGTGTCTGAAATGGTATCTGCCACCAGCGCTTACCAGCAGCAGAGCCTCCAGGTGGCTCAGGTAGGTTTCCTCACTGGCTAGGATTCCTGACAGGACCCATTTTCTCATCTCCAGGCCTTTCTCCAGGTCTGGCTCACTCTACAAAGAAGTTGTTAGGGAGAAAAAAGAAAAAGAAAAAAACAAGGAAAAAAAGGGGGGGGGGAGGGGGAGAAAGAAAAAAAACCAAGAATGAGGATGGAGAGTAACAGATACCATTCAGCTGACCACAGCACACTTTCAGACTAAAACACACCAACCAAGCAAAAAACCCACCTGTGCTCAGTGCCCTGTTTCTAGAAACATGCAAACATAAAACATTAAATACATTTTTATTTACCAGCAACTGATGTCACTTAGATTATTTACAGGTGTTAGCTTTAGTCATCCAATTAGGTGTCTGGACTTCTTCACAAAATTCAAAACACAGAACTTAGAATTTATCCTCCTAAACAAATCTTAGGGACCCTTGGTTATGTGCAATTCACTCCCTCCTCCCACGAAGAGTTCTCTATGATCTTACTCCAAAGCCATGTTTCTCTATGCAGACAGGATCACTCCCCCTGCATCTACACAGATGTGCATTAATACACAGCAGTTACAGCCTGACATTGCTGTTAAGATGGCTGTTCTTTCTCCCACTCTCTACTGTTCACTAAATTATTTTTCAGTGCCAGCTTGCACAGTGTCTATTTTTAGTTAGAAGACAGAATAATCAGCACTGCTTGGAACACACATGCTGATTTTCTTATTGGGATTCCATGAAGGAGTTCTTAACCAAAACAGTTGAAGAAAGAGAGAGAAAACAAAATACATTCATGGGCAAATGTACCCATCAAGGGAAGACTAACATCAAGTGTTAAGAGCAGCAGTAATCCTCTCTGTTGAATTTCAATTATCCTTCCTCTCAAAACTGTTACCTGAACAATATTTAACCTGATAAAGTGAAATGAAATATTTCCACCAGCTCTGAAAAAAAATGTGGCTGAACAATGAAGGTTATAAATAATGAGAAACACTCCCCTTTTATAGAATCTTATTTCCAGGTTTTTTTATTTCTGTCATTCACAGAAATGGCTTTTTACAATTCTTGCAACCTTTTTATGTTGTTCAATGTCTCTAAGAATAGAGTCAGTAGTTGGATCTGAAAGGGTAGATACTTTTCAGGGGCTTTGGGTAGGTTGTTTAGAGCTTCATCCTACTCCTCTTAATATCCAGAGGAATCTTCAGCTATTGATTTCAGCAGCAGGAGGATCAGGAAACATAGCGGTATGCTCCACTCTATTGACTGAACATAAAGCCCTACAGCTGACAAAAAAAGCTCTGTTTAGTTTAGGGTCCTATGCTTTGAACCCTGCAGATGTATATAAGAGGTTCATTATGGAGACAAGGTATCTTGGCTATAGGTAAGCTTACAGTAACACATCCTGAATGTGACTTTGAGCCTACGCACCACACAAAGAAAGAAACAGATCCTCACGCTCCCAGATATTTCTGGATTCAGTCTCATCAATAACCATCATGATTTTTGAACGTTTTCATTAAATTTCACAAGCTGTTTTCTAGGCTAAAAGACCTTGCAGCAACTACTTTATAAGAATTTTGTGAGGTGTCAAATACCACCATCACCTCTTAAATAAAAGTGGCAGACAGAAGCTGTTCTAAGGAAATGAGTAAAATTCACACGCACGTCAGGTACTACATGGAAAGAAGAACTTGTCTTTGCATCCCGCCCTTCAGTGAGGTTCAGTAAGAACCACAGTGCCTTTTAAAGTCTTGAAAGGGCATCTCAAAGAAGCTAGGACTTTGTAATTCAACAGTCATGTTCAGGTTTCAGAAAAACACCAGTGACGATCTACATGTAAAATGAATGCTGCAACAGATTCTGTGCAGCTACAGAGCACCTGTGTGACTGTTACAGCTCAAACAGAAATGTGCAACAACGTTACGACCATTCCTTATGATTTCTGTACCAGTAGTGTCTGGAAGTCCACCTCATGGACCATTTTGTAAGGTATGGCACATACACATAATCAAGACAGCCCCAAGATGTTTAACAAAGTGCCTTCATCCGAAGAGGCAGAGATGTAGCAGCCCTGGTGCAAGAAAAACACAATAGTTCTTGGTTTCCAAAGATTTCTTACAACACTTACAAAAGAAAAATGCAGCTTCACAAAGAAGCATTGAGAAAAACTAACAGTGCTCCAAAGTCCTCACTCCTGAGGATGAGGTAACTGGTCAATATTGACACAGCACTATAATTATCTCTAGCAGGTCTTCTTGGAGGAGGTGAGGATTTAAAAAACAGCTGGGTATGTTTGTAACATCTGTAAAGAGCAGTACACAATGACAAGTTATTTAAAGGATTCAAACCTCCCCATCGCGACAGTGGCACAACAGTTTTCCTTATAGCACTGAGCACAGTTTTCCTCTTCACAAATAAAAGCTTTAATTTATAAGCCAGTTCTTGCTGGGCATCGTCAGCTGACAGAGACAGCATTTTCTGCCTGAATGTTAATTTCCTCTCTTTAAAAGAGATGTGCTTTTGGAGAGACAAACATCTCCCAGGACACACTAGAGGCCTTCCTTCCTGGCCATTACCACAAGGTCACTTTGCAAAGTCCATGGTATTGTCCTAACCCTTTTTAAGAGGAGCATTTTCCAAGTGTGATGCTTGCAATACTCTAGCCTCAGATGCAGCCAGGCAGGGCAGGGCCTGGCTGCTTTAAGCTACCGTACAGCAGTTGCTGAAGAAGCCCTCAGAGGAGTTTATCCAACAATCACATAGCACATTACAAGGTTTCCAATGCAGTTCCTCCAATTTACATATAGATTCCTCATATGTGAAAAGATGATCTCCTGCTGTTCCTGCTGTGTCAGGGATCAATACGACACCACGGCGCTGCTGTCTGCATTGTGCTGCCACCCTGTATTTCCTTCTGAGAGCCAGTGCCCTGACATGAGTTTAGACAATGTCATCTGGGGCTTGCTGCTAGATGAACATCTGGAAAACAGCCCCTGTGCTTCTTCAGCCTCAGGGTGCTTTTTAAGTCACACTTGTTACGAAACTTACTCCAGGACTGAGAAACTCACTGGGAGCTGGTGCCAACATCAGGAAGAAGAGGAGCAAGTTTAGTATTTGGTATTACAACACTCCTCACTTACGAAGTTGGGAACAGGCTCACCTGCTCACCCAAAACAAGACAGAGCAATTAGCAGGCAGAGATACTGCAAGACTGTCCTTCCACTCTTCCCTTGCAGCACCCCAAGATGTGATGCACCCAGTTGCCAAGGGCATTTTCTGGTTTGCCCATATCTGACAAAAAAGGGGAACAAAGAGCAATGCTATGACCACAACAGCCTCACTGACTGCTCTGTTTCTGTACTCCAGGCAGAAGGGCAGTTAAGAGAGGGAACACCCTGGGCGTAGGTATCAAGCTCCCCACTGGTTCAGGGAGACCTGCCAAGGCTGAGGGCTCCTTTCCCCTACCCTGGCAAGAAGGAAGCAGTTAGAAATCTTTGGGCTGCTTGTGGCAAGGGGAGGAGCTAGTACCACATCTACCAGACCACATTAGCTAGGGGAAAATACACCTATTAACTGAAGTGCAGAAGGGATGTTCCGCGCAGGATGTGGGAGCAGCCTGTACTGGCAAACTCTAACCACTCAGCAGGGAGTGCCAGCTGGTCAGCAGTCCATCCCATGCTTCCTACCCGGCTTGGTTAGCCCATTTTTTATGTGTACAAGTCCAACTGGTATTTCATGTTCTGACTCTGTCCCCACCTCTTTGATGCTAGCATCCATTTCTAGCCTTTCTCCACTGCCCTTCCATCTTTTGGCTACCTCTCTACCCATACGCTTCAGAATAAATCTATCTTACAAGACTATCATGGGGCAGCAGCCAGCACATTCCTGTCTGTCTGCCATGGGAGCTGTGAGGACCCAACACCCAGCCCTTGAACAAGCAAGCAAGAAATCGATGCTCTGTTCCCACTCCTCGTGAACAATATTTTTAAAAAAAGAAAACAAAAAGGAAGGTGGAAAGCAGTATAAAGGAAGTTTCACAGGTACCTCATGCCTATAAGGTTCTGGCCCTTTCTTCTCAACTGGATGGTGCTTCTTGCTATTCCAAAGACTTAAAAACCAAAAGACTGAGTCACAGTCATACATGCAATCTTGCGACCTGAACCAGGGCCAGTCAGAGTGGTTAGAAGCACTGAAGACATTAGAGAGCGTGCATACACTGGCCCCAAGCCATGGCTGTTATGAATGTGTTTACAGCTTGTCAGCCTAAGTACTTTAGTATACTAACCAGGTTGGCATTGCATGTTGTATTCAATTACTGCAAGCCTGAGATTCACCAGCTCCAAGGATTAGACAGATTCAGCTCTTCCCGACTCTGTTTAAAGAACTTGGGGCTTTCTGGTTGTTGTTTAAATTAACAGCAATAATTGTTTTCTTGCAAATGTTAGAACGCAGATTAAGAATCTAGAAACCACAACACACAAGATTTTGCAAAGTGGTTGCTGCCGGCACAGCTCTGTAAAGAGAATCAGTGATTCAAAGTGGGCGTATAAAAGGCACTTTAACTCTCAGACCTTCCTTTGGTACAGTGTGTTCATATGTTGTGCAGTGAATGTGTTCAAAGGAGAGGTTTCCCGTAAGGACAGCTCAGAATCTCATAGAGAAGCTGACAGCCTACGAAAGAGAAAAACTAATTTCAATTTTTAAAGCGTAAATATCTTTGAAAGCTTCTGCTAAACAGGCTGGAGGTGTCTCATTGTCTTGGTGATATTAAACAGGGCAAATTCCGTAATCAAGCCAATCATGCAGGGAGGGGAAGGAGCAGGGAGAGGAGCCAACATTATTTATAACACCAGTACCGATGTGCCAGCTCTCCTCAGGAAGGGCTGTACATCCAGGCAGAGCCCTTACAGAGCAAAGAGCTGGAGAACAAAAAGGTAAAGTTGCATCTGTTGGGGGTGGTGAGGGGAAAGTGACAGTAGAACAAAACAAACAAACAAAACCAAATACTGAGAGGAAGAAATGAGGATTTGGAAATGCTGGAGGGGGAAGGACAAGCTAGCGAGAGTAGTACCAAGCAGAGCAGTAATCCCATTTATTGATGTGGCTTCAGAGGTCAACTTTTCTGGACCCCCTTGGGACCAATCTAGGAGAAAAGTCCACAACCTGCTCTTCCACAGCTCTGCTTTCCTCACAGCTGGCAGACAGTGAGAACAAAAGAATTTGGTCTAGACTGATTCTTCTAAACTCTAGAAAAGTGACTCCCCTCATTTCCTAGGGGGGTGGAACCAGCTTTGCCTTTCCACTGGCAACCCGGCACCCACCTCCACAGAGCCCCACACCCTCAGCTCCACATATGTCTTTGAGCCTGGCTTTGTTGGTGAGCAGATCTTGAAAGACCTTTCTTATTTCTACTCTTCCCATCACTGTAATCTCTCCTCATGTGAATAGCAGCAATAGGATCATGATGACTGAAGCTTCTCATCCTCTCTCAGTCTCTCTAACCTCCAAGTTGCAAGCTACCCAACTCCAAAACTCTTGGCACTAACTCTTCTCTAGTGAAGGGTGTCAGTCACTAACTTTGCAGCTGTGCCAACACTTTCCTGTGCCCCAAGAATACTGTACCAAGCTCTCCCTCTCTCCTCTTGTAATTCTATCCACATATCTACTCCACTTTTCACCCTAGCTATATGGTGAAGACAGACACATTCTTTCTCTTTCTGGGAGTGAATTATCAACTACTTGTTACACACACTGTCTGACACCTTCTGAAGCTACCAGCACTGCCTTATTTGGCAAACATTTGGGCTGACATTCTCCAAGACAGGTTTCCAGAATTTTTTTGAAAGTTCAATCACAACAGTTCAACTGTTACAGAAAGCAAGGTTCAGGAAAATTAAATCACTTCTCAAGTTAAACAAACAAACAACTTAAGCATTAGTGGAACCTATTTCTCCTTTTTCCTCTTTCCCCTGTAGGCTTGCTTCAGAGGAACAGTCAAAGTTTGGCAAAAGCATCAGCTTTATGCCAGGACATGCGTCAGCAGCTCAGCACGGCAATCTGGAAGAGCCAGAAGAGGGGGTACAACCTAGCTTGCTCAATACAAACATTTGTTAAGGCCTCCTTACCACAAAAGTGATGAGTCAGGGGATGCTGAGATCCACACTACAAACACCCATGTTGATTATGTCCTCTCTGGGTCACAGACAAAACTAGTACTGGTGCACCTCTTGTCACCCTCCTTGGATAGCAACAGATGTTTGTGCAATGGACACATCACAGTTGGAATATGAACACCTAAGAGGTGGCTGAAGTGGTACAGTTTGGAGGCTGACCAGCCAGCATCTTTTAGTCTGCTTATATGACGCAGATAGTAGGGGGGGTTGGAAAACAGATCCCAAATGACAAGGTGTAGAACACCACAAACCTTCTGAAAGTCATCTGTGGCCCTCACTGCCTGGAACACAGAACATGAGGTGCTGGGAGGTGGTCACCCTACACACTGACGGAACATGAAGCTCCTCCACAAGTAGTCCAGGAGGTATCCCTTCATTGTCTTTTAGAAAGAGACACTGCTTTTGCCACTCTGCACTTTCTTTATTGTGGCTGGGTAGACCAGGTGGAACCCTGATGCGCTATCCAGCCAAAGGCTATAGCTGCTATAAGGAGATCGAAGGACTTAGTCAAACACTTGGCAGAAAAATACAAAGCCCAGAGCAAGCCCACAAAATAAGTCAAAGCAAAATGCCCTCAACATCCAGATAGCAACAACCCAGTCTCCAACAGGAAGGCTGGTCTCATGGATAAGGCAGATGAACATCACACCAGAATGCTGCTATATCTGCGTGGTGCTAAGCGAATTACTTAGAATTATATTAAAAAAAAAAAAACCACAACCCAAACAAAACCCTGTTTGCAATGTTTTTCATTTTCTGGGTGCCTGACTGGAGTGTTGTTAACTCTTGGTTGCAAGTGAAAATAAAGGGATTTTCCTTTAAATGTGAAGAAAACTGCATTAAAAGTCAGAACCTGGTTTTGCAGAACATTACGCATCTCACATTAAGCACCCAAAATTAGCAGGTGCTTTTCCTATAATCTGTCTGCCTTGATTACCTGTGGTTAGTGAACATACCATCCTCTTATCTCACAGGAACACTGCAAGGATAATTAAGACCTGTGTAGCATTCCAACTGTATTGGGAGTTAATGGTCATGCCAAAAGGAAATGAGTACTTTTGTACTCAGAGCAGAGCTTGCACAGGGTCCTGTAAATAAGGTGTACGCGTAGCTCTAGAGGTAAAATATTGAATCCAGTGAGTATCATTCACTAGATACACTGAACAATGCAGGAGCCCCATAGAAACAATAGGACACGACTGCATAATTGAAAGTTATCATAAAGATTCACGACAAGGCTATAGGCACAAGGCATGGCTGGATAACCATAGTCTTTTCTTAACTTCTGAATGACTTCACAGTCTTAATATTTTGTCAAAGGGTTGTACATAGTGCATGTGTTGTGTTGTTACATACTGTTAAGTGTTGATTTCTAGACTCTGGTCATCAAGATAATCTACAATTTTCAGAAGTAATTGCAGGCACCTAAGAAAGAAGTAAAAGGGCAAGGAGACAACTACAAAAGCAAACACATGTAAACAAAAAGCGGCTTCTGCTAATCAAGTGTAGTGAAAAACAAAATAGAGAAGACATATGTCCTGGTATTTCTGGTCCAACATATTTTATGTGCTTGGCTCAGCACAGTGTGTTTGACACTTAATTTTGTTACTGATGTCTTTTCCACTACAGATGAAAACATAACACAGTAAAAGCCATCTAACAACTCCCAATGACAGAAAGTTTAACTTGTTTGGGAAATACTGCAACCATATATAAATTAGTCTCTTCCACCTTGTCGTGGACCATCCTGCATGAGTGGCATTGTCATTTGTGGACTAATTACAGACAGGATCAACAGATGCTGTTGAGGTTCACAATTAAAAGTCTAATCTGTATCAGGACACCTCTTCCTTTTGGAAGCCATAAAACATCTTTTTATAGTCAGAGAGAAGAAAGCAGCCGTTGATGTTAAAAATAATTTTTTAAAAGGCAGCCTTCTAGCATTATTAATGTAACTTTGAAACTAACTACTGTTAAATGTTTATGAGGCAATATTCAAACAAATAAAGAACAATATTAAATATTAGGCAGTCTCTCTTCCAGGCCTCCAGACACAGACACTATGACAACTGGTTCTTTGAAGATAACTCTCAGCCATATGTAGTCACACAGCATTTTTCCTTCATCCTGAGAAACGTAACCTGGAAATCTCAAGCCAGTATTAAAACGTTCTTGGAGCTTTTGAATTTACTAATGATCATTTCTTCATTCAAAAGCCTCTTACATATCACAAGAATTCTCATCTTGAGAGATAAAGAAAAGCATCTCAGAATTAACAGACTTAACTAGGTTCCATACTTCATAGTCAAATAAAATTAAGCAAACATCAACAATATATGTACTTGATAATGCTTTAAGAGATCTTGACAATGCATTTTTTGTAAACTAGAAAGAAGAACAAGAACACTGCCTCAAATAGGCTTCTTCATCTAACATTCATCCTAGAAAAAGTAAGGAAGCATATGATATGGCACTAACCAATAAAGAGTAATAGAAGGATGTATATAATGAATGCTAAGTATCAATGGTTTGTGGAACTTGTCAGACTCTTGAAATCATTCTGATGCAAGATAAATAAAACTGTCTGATAAAGGTGATGGTGGTGATTTACATGTACACTGATATCTGTAAAATATGCATCTTCTCCTGTGACATCTTAATTAATAGGACAGAACAATATAAAGCCAACACACAAGTTAAACCACTTAAATGACAGATTTCAAAGTGTCATTTACAATGTGGGAATTCAAGGTTGTTTGGCTACACTTTCTTAGAAATACAGTAGGAAGGAAGTGACAGTTGTCTTTGTGCTATTAAGCATTTTTTATGAATGACTTAGGGAAACCAAAAGTTTGCAGAAGACAAAGATATTCAGGGAAACAGCAACTTGGGATTGAAGTCCTGTACAATCTAGGAAGAAAAAGGATAAAGAGAAACAAAGGTTGAAAGTCAAACAGATTAATTCAAGCTGAAACTAAGACATTTTTGACTGTGAAGACAGCAGAGTCAATAGTTATTTACCAAGGCAAGCAGTCTCTACAAGACTATTGTAAAAACAAAAATAGAAATTTTCCTTAAGTTGCAAGCGATAGCCATGCTACTGAACCTGAAGCAAAAATAAAGCAAGATAGTCTGAAGGTCCACATCAAAGCACAGGTCAGGCTTAGGTGGTCTCTTCTGAACTTTTTATCTGCCATAATTGATTATATAGATAGCTATTTGGTGAATAGTCAAATTCATTGTAAGAAGTGGCCATCTCCCACCCAAAGCCACCAGACCTCAGAGCTCACAGTTTTAATTCCTCTTATTGCATTTTCACAGGGTGAAGAAAACAGATCTTATATTCTAGATGCTTTATCAAAGCCTTTAACCTACCTGAAAATAACTCTTATTTTCCTTATGAAAGGCAATGACAACCCACATGCACAGATGTATGAACATCATAATGTAGGATGTTTTGTTCCAGAGTCTCCTTTCCAAAATATCTGGTATTTAGAGACATCCTCAACAGCAATTAATCACCAATTCTCTCCACTGAAATTCACAAAGGGTGAAAAACTGAGGCTTAAAAATCATACACACATCACTCATTCCTGAAGTTTAGGCTTAGAATCAGCTAGACACATCAATTTAGCTCTAAATATACAATATAAATCAGGCAGTGCTATATTATGTCAGTTAATCTGTCCTACAGTGCTAGTAGTCCCTGTCTTTGCTCCCTGTTAAAGCAGTCTACCCCTTGCAAACCTAAAAGGCTTTGCTGACTCCAAAAAGGCAGGAAAGGACTCACTGATTTTGTAGATTCCAGAGACCCTGAAGATAGAGTGTCTCGGCTGCCCCGACTCTTGGAACTGAGATGGGGTGAGGATGATGGCGAGTCATCAATATAGGGCATCATATCATGATGTCGCCTCTGTTCTTCAGCACGGTCTGCATCATACGCATAGCTAGGTGGTGTGCCACTGAATGAAGCATCTGTAAAACACAGGAGAAAAATCTGTCTGGTCAGAGTCAAGCTGGACAGGAGACAGGCTGGTCAACCAAGGCACTGCCTGCCTCCCAGCTATTATGATTACTTATCAGAAAACCCAGAGTCCGTGATAGTTAAATATAGATCAAGTGGAGGTGTAAATTTAATTAAACTCATGTTGTCACCAAACATTCACTTCACTCATTTTAAGTCCTAAAAGGTAAAGTCCTTTCTAATATCTAACATTGGTGTTCATTTAATTACATCTCCTTCCCTCAAGTTTTCCTTCAAAAGCATTAGCATCAAAATAAATCCTTTTGCAGGCTCCATAAAAGTCATGCAGTCTGGGTTTAGGAATGTAGTGGGTTAGGGTAACAGACCTTGTTTTTTTCTGTAGAACAAGAACAGATGATACCCATGCCAATTTAGCAATCATAGATAATACATAGCTCAGAAGAGAAACATAACTCTTTCCAGACCTCTCAGGAACAAGAGGACTAGGAAAGAAAGGTCTTACATGTCAAGTGAACCAGCCTACTACCAAAAATAAAATCCTAAGAGGCCCTCTTCTATCGGCTGCCCCTCCTCCTCAATTTTGAGACTAACTCCTTAAACAAATGAACAAACTACCACCCTGCTCCCTCCTACACC